AATGACTATATAGTTTATATAAGGCTAAGGCATTCCCTTATCACTAAAATACTGTTTAGGGTCGATTTATTTTAAACTTTCAACTTTGGCACATGAATAATTAATTAAAGCTTTCCCTGACCAATGGTTTAATAGTTTTTGCACACGGCAAACTCTTATGAATGAAACTCTGAGATAGTACTACGATATAGCCGTCATGCAAGTGGCTGTGAATGGTTGCCAATGACAACGTGTTGCACACGGAAATTTCTGATCATTTATAATATGGACTCTACAGGGTTTTTAAAGCTCAAATTAAAACATTCCAGTTTAAATGTCTTCAAAATGCTTTCTGAAACACAAGTTATCATATATTTTGATGTATATAGTGGTAATAATTAAATATTTCTTAAGTATTGGCAACTTCCGCCATTAAAAAGGGGGCGTGGCCCACGCCATGTCAAAATAAGGCTGAGCCCCCTTTTGGTGATATGGGTTACTGGGAGAAGCGTAGCGAACGTGGGACACGACCTACATCAATGAGAATTGGCACATATATATATCAATATCTAATGCCTTACACGATTTAATATGAAAGACATGTTCCTTTTATTTCACAAAAAATTTTCTATTCGAAGATGCCTTATATATAACAAAGATTTTCAAAATGAAGTTCGATTGACAATAACAAAATAGTTGGATGGAAATGTAGGCCAAGATGTCTTCCAAATTATAAGGCCGGAAACGGAACTCAAATATCTGTCCAAAAAACTAATTTAATAATAAATAGACACACACATCGGAAAATTAAAAACTCGGATTTTTCGGCGCCGACGCCTATTTCCGATACAAAAAAAGTAGTAGTCTCCCTTGTTTTATCGAAGTATCTAGTCCAGCGGGCATGTCACGTGACCACCGGACGATTAGTGGGAGATATTTTCCAGCGGCAAACATGTCATGTGACCGCCGGACAACTAGTAGGTGTTATTTTTAGGGCAGGTCATGTGACACGTGGTCGCTGGCAAAATAGTTGCATTACATATGATATTTCAATATTGTGTACATATATTAGTCAGCCAATCCCTAGATAAAAAATAAGGCCGGCACTACCTACACCGCGGCGGTGTACCTAGCGAAACTATTGACTCTGGCCTGCGTACACAGCGGCGGTGGACCTAGCTAAATCATGGTCTGTGGCCTGCGTACACCGCAGCGATTTAAAGTAGCAAAACTATGGTCTTTGCGAGTCTTTAACTTTTTGGCCTAACTGGTACTTGTAGATTTAATGTTTTACTCGTTTTAAAACTGAAAACTATTTGTTTAAAATTCGTTTATTACCTTGGAAAGATATTGAGTAAGTTCCACGCTTATGTGGCAAAGTACTTGTAAAGCATTTCTTATTATTTTTTGGAAGGGAGGGGGCTGGGTGTGTAATGCTAAACCATAATTTATTTTTCAAGTTAACCACTTTATTCAAATATATTTATTAATTGTTGTAAGTTTTATCATATTATTGTGAATCTTAATAGGCATAAAAAGGGTAGCTAATTTGAAATTATTCTCTCCCCCCACCCAGTTGTTTGTTGTTTTGTTTTTGTTTTTTTTGGGGTGGGGCATTATAAATATGAAACTGTATGTGATCCATCCGGGCGTGGTGTAAAAATGAATGGCAAGCCAGTGAATCTATTTTGTTAGCACCAAGATATAATTACGCCACAAATACACTACGGGAAGAGAATCACATACTCTACATTGATCATGAAGTCGTGAAGTTAAAGTTGTCCGAGGCATTGTCATTGTGATACCAATTGTGTGTCAACACAAAACAACAGTATGCTGATAAATACGAAACACTGCAGTGATTTTTTAAAAGTCTTTTAACAATAACTAAATATCATTGATTTAGTTTTACATTGGCATTACACATTTGTAAAAAATGCCGGCCGGGGGGGGGGGGGGGNGGGGGGGGGGGGGGGGGGGGGGGGGGGATGCAAAAGGTAAGTTTGTTGTGCGGACGTCCTCCACCCCCTTTCCCCCGGCAGGTTCGATTTCTTAACAAACAAAAAAACAACAAATACAAAAACTTTGACAAATCCTGTCCCAAGCCCATTGTGCAATGGTTTCTGTGAGAAAATGTTGTGTTTTACCCTGAGAATAGCACATGCCATGCCATTCTGGAAACTAATTCCGTCATGAAAAGGTTAAATGCAGACCTACGGCTTTGCTATACAGTTTGCTACCGCTCCGCAAGTTTCTAAAATCGAGGTGTTTTCAAAAGATTTGCTTTGAGACTGAGTGTTGTGAATGAACCTTTGATATCGTGTGTACATTTTGCCAATGCCTAAGGCATAGTGAAAGCAAGATGGTTCAAGATTGAAATACGACCATGCACATTAATGACATTAATATTCATATGATATTAATGATATACTGGTATTTTCTTTGGGTGTTCGTAAAAGTAAAATGTAAATATTCAACTACACGAAGAATGTTGAAATACAATAGAATATCACTTAGTCACTTAGTATTCATGTTTCTCTTATACATGTTACATACACTATACATGCGCTTTCAGAAACTTTGAGTTTGTTTTCTTATGTCTTATTACTAAATTTACCGATATTTTCAAAGTCTAAGGCCGGCACAACTTGTTGAAACACTTATATATATAAAGTGTATTTAATATAATATTTAAACATATATTTAAATTGTTTAAATTGCTACAAAATATTTTAAAACTAAAATGGGAGGAAAAAAAACTCGATCCCCTACTGGGAATTGATCTCAAAATATATTATCGCCAAGCGTCCACTCTACCACTTGACCACAGAAATTTTCTCTAACAAGATAATCTTAAAACCAAGTCAATGGTACATTTTTGCCGCGGTGTGCCCAGGCCAAAGCCCACGATTTTGCTAGGTACACCGCCGCGGTTTACGCAGGCCAAAGCCGATGGTTTCGCTAGGTATACCGCCGCGGTGTATGAATCCACTTCAAAAAAATAAATACTGAATATGACATGTTACATGTTAATATATTCATATGCTCTGAGATACATAAAGTGTTTGAATTTGAAAATTAAACTAGTCGGCCTATATACTAACTAGTAGTACTATTACTACTATTACTAGTCTATTTGATTCCGACTCTTCAAAGAAAAAAGTCCCTTATCTTGGTTAAACATCTTATGAAGCTCTGCCTTGAATTTAAATTTAAAATATGAACCAAATAAAATAAGACCAGTACACTTCAATAGACCTATGTCAATAAAGTTGTATTTCAGTATTAGTATTTAGTATTGCATGAGAAATAGGCTAGGCTACCACTATATCGGCCCCATATTAAGATGTATGGTCTATTTCTTTGTGAACTCCCCGCCTTAAACCTGATTATTTATCACCCTCACTATAATTTTTTATTACTGTAATTCTCTCTCCCTCTTAGCATTACTTCTTTCTAGAATGCATTATTGTTTACCTATCCCCCCCCCCCCCCTCCTTGTTTTGGTAATATACCCAATTATTTTTTTCTATTATTTGTTTGCAAGATACTCAGTAAATGCGACTGTACTATCGGGTTCACGTGACAAGGCTGACAGACTAATATCTCGCGCCACTTTGTTACTGCGGTCATGTTACTTGATCGCTGGACGAATATCTCGATAAAGAATTCGTCCGGTCGCCGGACGTGTAGACACTTCTTTCTTTAAAATAGTAATGAGTGGATAGAATGTTTAAATTATTTTTTTTTCTGTGTTTAATTAAAATATGTACAAACTTTACAAATTTTCCAGCATTTTGAAAAATGTATTTTGATTTTTCTGACATTTTGGATTTTATTTTTGCTGTAACATGCAATAAAGTGTAAATGTATTCGATTTGAGTTGAGTTTTCATTATTTTGAATATTTAAAAAAATTAATGTAATATTTTTATTCAAATTTATGATTTTCTCAGTATGGTTTGCACATAAATACATGATTTTAGGGCTCATAATAGGCATTACATCATAGATTTTATATTTGAAGATTTATGCTTAAGTTGGGACTAAATCTAGGGGTAAATTTTCACTTAAGTTAGTGGGGTCTAAATTAAGGGGTAAATGTACGCTAAATTTAGGCTTGAATTTACGCTTGAGTTAGGGATACTGACTTAGCCTACCGGTTAAGTAGAGTAGTAAATATTAGGATTGAAGTTTTATCAAGAATATATTGACTTACATTAAACTTTAATGTTTTTTTCTTCTAACTTACACAGACAGCATCTTGTTTGCCATGACACGTCTGCAGTTATGGCATCCAATGAGTGTTGCTCCGAACATGAATTTACAAATCATCCTTGTTAGCCAGTCTCATTGTTTCAGAGCTTGTCAATATTTAAATATGTCGTAATTATCCCGTTTAGGTGACCAAATTCAAATGACAAATTTGTGATATTTATTGAACATTGTGCAACTTCCGGTTGTCTAGGTTTAAAACTGTCATAACAACTGTCACAGATGATTTACTCCCATTCAGTTACTTGAATTACCCAATGTTACCCTGCACACTTATACAGTAGCCCATCTCAGTAAAGAGTAAACTACCCATGTCATTCATGAGTTAGGACAGGTAGAGTTAATACTAGATCTAGTAATAGGGCCTAGCCCTAATACAAATATAGTAATATTTAATGTACCCAGTCTTACACCTTGTCCAATTATTTATAAAAGAGTAAATCTCAGCCCAGTTCGCTATTCAGTGACAGCACAACAAACTGAAACTACAAATAAAGTCCCTGTACTTTTAGCTGCATTAGTAGTCTTACATGCATGAATTTTTCTTTCGGAGCAAATTTAAAAAAAAGTGACATGTTCTACAGTTTCTTGGCTACGATGGCTATGGTTTGGTTGCTGAAAATTATACGTGTTGACATTTTGACCTAAACTGGACAATTACCAAATCTGTCTTCAATTACTTTAAAAGAAAAAAAGTATTGGCTGAAAGTAAATTAACTTACATTCTTATTTTCTGTTGTATTCTCAGTACGGGAAAAGATGGCATTGCCAAAGAATACTACACACTTGACTCCATCTTGTATTTGCTCAAAAATGTTCATTTACAGCACCCACTTTACGTTAGAGAGGCTGTGGTAAGTAGCATTTCATCAGAACAGGGACGTAACAAACTACAACTCATAACATGAGTGACATAACACCCTTAAATAAAAGATGAGCATTAGTTTCAGACTTTAAATTATTGTTTACATTTAAATTTAATGTTCAAAGATTTGTTTTTTTCATTTTCATAGGTAATGATACACAAGTAAACTGCTATCAAACTTTAATGGTTGTTAAGTTACAAAGATTTATATTATTTAAATTTTTTGAAATAAAATCATAAACTTTAAGAGTCATTAAATTTTTTGGAAATTGTATTTTAGATTTATAAAGTTTAGTTTCAACAATAACTTTAAAAGCTTCTGTTTTTCCACATTTCAGGCAGCTAATATCAGTGTTGTTCGTCGTCCTGATAGAAAAGACCTACTGGCATACCTAAATGGAGAGACAACTACTGCAAGCAGCATCGACAAGAGTGCTCCCCTTGAAATATCCCAGAGACCAACACAGAGTATGTCACACTGATTTTACTTTTTATTTTTTCTGTTGTGTGACCCTTGAGTTGACTAGATGCAAAAAGTTAAACAAATCACATAGTGTTTTATTCAGGTTTTTTTTTTTGGGGGGGGGGAGGGGGGGGGTGGAGTTCAAGTCTGTACAAACTATCACCCCATGACGCTCTCCTATGTTTATATCCTGACATTTACTTAAGTATCATTGGCTCCTTTTTTTTTCAAAATAATAATAACAATTGAGCTTACAATCAGACTTTATATAGCAAATTACTAAACGGACCTGTTGTGAATTCATGTCATGCTGAATTTCAACCCCACATGGAATACATTTTCTTTTATTTCAGTCAAAAGAACTGCTGAAGATGGAGCTGGTGAAAGTGATAAAAAGAAACCAAGATTGGAGGTATGAAGTGGTTCAATATTTATACATTTTTAAAAAGATTTTCTGGAGATTACAGATAAGATTCTTTAGTATACACAAACAAAGGGACATGTTTTTTTGATTACATTGCACATATTCATTTTCAGCACATAAATAAGTACATATTTTAGCCAAGACAACATAAGACAATTACAACAATTTTAGTTGTAAATAAAACTAAGCTTTTAACAGTGAAATTAACTATGTTATAGGTAATTATATCATCATTAATGTTTTATGTGTAGTGAAATGTGGTTGATATTATCTGCTTTTAATAGTAGATGTTGAATACCGAATAATTGCACATGAATACAAAATATTTAACTAAAAGCTTGAGTCAATATTGTCTCCTGCCTCATCTTAGGATCCTCAAGTGCAAAGAGAAAAAATCAACTGGATCAATAAAATTGATGGTGGCAGAGAGTCTTCTGTGCTACCCTCCTCTCTTGGGTAAGAACATCTTTAAGAACATCTTTATAGTTATTCTTTGATGAAACCAGACATGAGAATAAATTAAATTTAAAATGTAAACATTGTTAACTAATGAAAAAGCCGATTAGTGAACCTGAAGTTGCCTACAGAATATTGCAGATTAAAATAACTTAGTGCACTGCTTGTGAATTATCACAATTACATTTTTTCTTGCACAAAAATATTTAAATTAATGCAAATTATATTTTCCTCCACATTTTGCACTTACAAAAATGTAGATTTCGTGGGGGGGTTTGTCTTAATCATAATTGCCTCATCATCAACAGCCCTTCATCACTGCATGAGGCGATGCCACTTGAGAAAATTGCAGCGATCAAGGCTAAGATTCTGGCCATTAAACGTACAAAAATCAAAGGTGACGACGACCTGCAGCCTGGGGCACTAGAGCAGAGAACTTTCGTGGATGCCGAGGTGGACGTGACAAGGGACATTGTGAGCCGTGAAAGGTTGTGGAGGACGAGGACCACCATCTTACAGAGTGTTGGAAAGGTTAGTGGTTTTCAGAATGCTGCCAGCGTGAAATTAGCACTCTGAAGATGAGCCATCGTACATGATTTGCACCTTTTAAACTCTCTGAGTTCAAGTTTAAAGTGTAACTGCATTAGTTTCATTATTAGCGCTGTTGAGTAGATTATCAATTATTTACAATAGACTTTTGGATCTTAAAATATTGCACGATTTCTGTGTAAAAAAAACAACAAGTTAACTTATTGAACAGTGCACCATTTTGAAGGCTACTAAACTTCAGTATTACTGGCTGAAGTGGGAATTCCATTGTCTGACATCAAACACAGATTAAATAGACTAATCAAGAAAGCTAGTAATATTACACAAACTCAACATCCTTCGCCTGAAGAACTATTTGAAGAAAGATGCTGTTGTAAGACAAAATTTGTTTTGGATAATACATCCCGTCCTTTTCATCACAGATACCTAAGATCACCCCAATCAGGGCAAATTCTTTCTCTTCAAGTTAGGAAGAAAAATATAAACACTTTTTTCTTCCCCAGTCTGCACCAATTTACCAGCGTGCTCCCCCAGCAGTTACCAAATCTAAATGATCTCTAATTAAGTCATTATTGTCACCGAAGGAGTTCATTGATGACTCATTTCTATGCTAGAGAAATACTTTAGTTTTCTTGTGTTTAAATTGTCATAAATGTAAAATGTTGTCTTTTTAAAAATATGTAGGTATTTATTTACAATGTAATAAAAAAACATTTCCATTTATTTGGATCAATAAAGAATCTTATGTTTTAGGAATAAATCTCAGTCTTATGTTCCTGAAGAGGTTGAATGTAATAAACATATAAAACCAAATAGTGCCTTGACCTGCCAGTGACAGACATTTTTTGTGTTTGCAGCAATTTGCCAAAAACATCTTCAGCATTCTACAGTCTATAAAGGCCAGGGAGGAGGGATCACAAAGGACTCAGAATCCTTCTCAAAGTGCAGTCACATCATCTGCTGTAAGTTATCTAGTTATAAGTTTCTGAAGGCATTTGTAAGATATAACATTTGTAAGTTGTTTAGTTATTTATTATTAAAGCTGTCTTTTATATAGTGCTGTACCCCAGCCAAGGGTTGGCCTCACCGCGCTTCACATAAAAATATTGGCAACAATAAGCAGGAAATTTAAACGGTTACATAAATTGATTTAATTTGTTAAAAAAGAACTTTAGATATATAAAGTCGTCGTCCCCCCCCTCCCAACTTAAACTATTACATGTCAAGTTATGGACGGCACCCAGCAGCATCGTTTTATCGATCAGAGGTGGGTGGGAATCAGTTGCGATGGTATAATTTGAATAAAAATGTCTTTAGTGCAGTTTTGAAGGCCTGGATGGTCGTATATTGCGGATGTTTAATGGGAGAGAAATCCATTTTTTTGGGGCGCAGAAAGGGAGCTTTTCGAAGCATTTGTATGATGTAACATTGGTAAGATATAACATTTGTAAGTTACTATTGTCTCACATTATTAAAGCAGTCTCAGTCTTTGGTGACTGCGCGGTTTACTTTTGACCAAGTCAGGGGGCTACTCTGTTGACACTTGACTAGTTAAAGCCATACATTTTCACTGTTCCCAGCAGCCCCAGACCAGACCTCCTCAAGTCATCAGTGGTTACAACAGATACGATCAGGAGAGGTTCAAGGGAAAAGAAGGTGACCAATGAAAAGACATCTCTTGCAGTTTCATAAACTCTGGTGGCTTCAATGGTTTTAATAATAATTTATCATTTTGAAAATGGTAGCTTGTGCCGAGCTTGTCTAAATTTAAAAGGTTTTATTACTGGATGGAAATAGTCAACAGAACTTGGGATTTGCTATTTTCAGGAATAAATGAAATTTGTTTTATTTTAAAATTGCAGTTCTCTAATGTTTGTAAAAAAAAGTTTTAAAAAATCTGTTGTTCGCACGTTATAGGCATATTCATTTGGTGCTGGGATGTTTCTATGGAACAGTTATATTATTATTATTTGTGGTGGTTTTGTATAACAGGGTACCCCAGCCTAGGGCTGGGCTCACCACGCTGTACATACAATTTAACAAACATAATCATGAACTTAAAAATTAACATAAATTCATACAGCATTGCGACTACATCTCTGTTTATGATGTTCACTTGGTGTTTGTTTTTTGTCTGGTCAGAAACCGAGGGATTCAAAATCGACACTATGGGTACCTTCCACGGCATGGCCCTGAAATCAGTGACCGAGGGTGCACAAGCCAGAAAGATGCCTCAGCCAATACCGCAGCCCATACAACAACCTGTACCAGTCATTCAACCTGTGTCCAGGCCCATATCACAGGCCAGACCACCCCCTAATCAGAAGAAAGGTTGGTAGATGTTTGTCATATGTGTCAAAATAACAAAAACCTGCTGGTAATTTTAAATTAATTCCTAATCAGTTATATCTTGCTTTATGCCATTATCTATGTTATAATTATTGCTTTCATAAGCTGTTTAAATTAAACAGTTCACTATATAATGACTTAATTCACATAATTGTCATTAGGGTTATTATTAAATAGTTGACATTAATTTAACAAATATTTTTCTTATTCTAAGTTATTACCCATGTTAGATGCTTTCAATCTGTTCATGTTAATTCTTTATTTCTGATCTCTCTCAGGCTCACGTACCCCCATCATCATAATTCCAGCAGCTTCTACATCTCTAATCACAATGCTGAATGCTAAAGACATCTTAGAGGATCTAAAGTAAGGCTTCAATGTGGACATGTATAATACCAAATAACTGAGCTCTTAGGGAATGTTTGTTACCTTAATTAATATTTCTGGTATAAATAATTCAGTCATTGAAAGTCATGGCATGCTCTACAGCAGTAGTTCTCAGCCTGTGGGTCGTGACCTCTTTGGGGGTTGAACGACCCTTACTCAAGGTTCTCCTAAGGCCATTGGAAAACACATATTTATGAAGTAGCAATGAAAATAATTTTATGGTGGGGGGGTGTCACCACAACATGAGGAACTGTATTTAAAGGGAACCTGCATTAGGAAGGTTGAGAACCACTGCTCTTCAGTGAAGTCTGGATAAGTCAACTAAAGAGAATCATTTGCTGAGGTTCCAAAAGTGTCTTAATCATCATCATCAATGGCACTACAGCCCATGTAGGGCTCTGGCCTGCTCCACCACATCCTTCCATTCGGAGCGATCCATGGCTTTCCGTCTCCATGCTTGAACTCCCAACTGGTGTAAATAAAAGTGTCTTAATAGAATTTAATATCTTCATTAAAGAATACATTTATATGGGTGTTTCTTGATGTGATTTGTTGATCCTCTTCAGATTTGTAAGTACAGAAGATAAGAAGTCACTGGGCACAAAGAGAGACAACGAAGTTTTGATACACAGACGTAAGGATGGAGGCCTGTCCGTGCCCTACAGAATCATTGACAATCCACTCAAACTTACACCAGACGACTGGTAGGGCTTGGTCTTTATAAACCATTTCAAATTAGTGGCATCAGACTAATTTGCAGGATTCGACAATAATTACACGGTTTAATGTGAAGTATATTTCTATATCTTTGTGTTTTAAAATTGTGCATGGCTGCCACAGGTCTATCTATGCTCATGATCATTCCACAGGGATAGAGTTGTTGCTGTCTTTGTTCAAGGTCCAGCTTGGCAATTTAAAAGCTGGCCGTGGAGTGGAAACCCTGTTGAGATATTTTCAAAAAGTAAGTTCTTGCTGTAATTTTAAATTTTTTGTTTGATTGAATCAATAGTCTCTTCTTTACTGTACTGATTTTAAGTGTTATGTTTAAATGAACTCCTAATAAAGTTTTTACATATTATTATTCACTTCAGTCAAAGCTTTCCATTTAAAGTGGTCAGAGCTGCCTCTAGACACCAATGTCCAGAAATGGTCAGTTAACATTATGAACCTTGACAGACATCGCAGACACTTGGACAGAGCCACACTGCAGCAGTTTTGGGAAGTTCTTGACAAGTAAGTCCCAGTTAAAGAACATCAATGTCTTACGATATGAGGCATAATCAGGCCCTGTTAGACTCTTATGGGTCAACATATAATCAGGCCCTATTAGACTCTCATGGGTCAACATAATCAGGGCCGGTTAGAATCTCATGGTTGAACTTCAACTTCGCACTGCAAATGAAAAGATGACTTTCAAGAAAAAACATTAATATTTTTAGATACTGGTACCATAATTAAAGTAACGGTGGAATAATTAATTCCCTTTTGTTATATTTGTCGCTGTAAAATGACTAATCACACTTGAAAACTCTAATTACATTACTATGTTGATGAAAAAAGTTATAATTGTCCCAGCAACAATATTAAAATCTATTATTCTGGGTAACTGAAAATGTGTTGCATTTAAAGTTGTCTAATTTTTCATAACATGAATTCATTTGTTGCCTGTTTCAGGTACATGATGAAAAACAAGCCCCACCTCCGCTACTGAAGACTGGCACGCAGTTGTGTCATAGTGACAATGTTTTATTGCATAGTTTTGTTTCATTACATCCACGCTGATTGATTGGATTTACAAGAGTTGCATCTTGACTGAGTACAAGCAGTGGCTGCAAATTCTCATTCCTACTAAATACTACACTGTTTAAATACTTGCACACACACACACACACACATGGAGACATTGGCCTGAGTTTCGATGCAGTTATGCTGAGTCTCACCCTCGACGTGGAAAGCTCAAGCTCCTGGCACATCTACTCAATTGGCAGACAGGCTTGGCACAGACAGCCCTGCTCCTTTCTATTTAACCATGTAAATAAAAACAACTAGTTAGTAGTCAGTTAAGTTGAAAGTTCCGATTGAAAAGTATTGTTTAATAAATGAGCAGTAGTTGTAAGGCACTTTGTTCTAATGGCTTCAGCCATCAGTGAACCTTACTGAAGTATTCCATCAGCACTATTACTAAGCAGGCTTATACTAACTTATAGGCATTGCAACGTGTGCTTGCCTTGGATCTGGTGGGCTGCCCATTTGACATCCAAAGATGCCAGCATTGTTTGTGGCACTGACATCATGAACTTAGTTTCCTTGCGAATAATGTTGAGACATCTCAATTGTTTGGAGTTGTTAGTGACACACCATCGTTGTTTGTGTTTTTTTTTTTTTGCTCACTCCTGTAACTGAAACATTAATCTTTAACGTTATCGATTCTATTTTCTTTTAGCTAAAATTGAAATAAGATACGACAAATTGATATTTGATCTGCATATCGCTTGTCCCATGCACAACAGATTCGGCAGATTAATATTGATGTATTAAGTATATCAAGTGATGGAGAGAGAGACAAGTGCTTCCAACAATATGACAGCTTTCTCTTTGATTTTTTAATGGTTTTTTTATTGTTTAAAACATTATTTTTACCTGTTTATTAAAAGATTTTTATTTTGAGTGTGTGTGTGTAACCTTCTAATTTGTGGTGTCACACATCTCAAACTTTCACAACACACTCAGAATCATAGAGTAAAACATAATTCCCTATGCTTGGTCTGGCACAACAGACTAATTGAACAGCATTGTATGTCTTTGTAATACATTACATGAACACATTAAAGTCTCTTCAATGCATGATGATCCTATTATTGATTTTTAAAAAGAAGCAATAGATTCCTATTTTTGTTATGCTTCATCAACTGCATGAACTTAAAAGAAATAAAAATAATAAATGCAGGTGTATTATACTTGTACATGCTTATCTGATCACATATTCATCTACAGGTATATGTGTCTCAGAATACCACGATTCATGTACGTACATAATAAATGGCAGTGTGACTGAATGACAGTTAATGTGTGTGTATGTGGTAAAGAAGCTGTGATGTTAATTAATTGTTTGAATTTTACATTTTGTTTTATTATTTTTGACCAACATAAATCTGCTTCTCTTTGAGCTATAGTACAACATTCAGATGTCCCATTGTTGTATCTGGCAACATTTTGATGGCTCTCATCATGGCAGGTTCTTAGTGTCTTCACATTTTTGTCAACTGAAGTGTAGTAGCCAGACAGCATCTGGCCTCATGACCGGCTCATCTGGCCACACGACCAGCTCATCTAGCAAGGCTTGAGAGCTTGCACTCACTGCGTGTCAGTCTATTTGAAACAAATTATTGTATTAAACTTTCCCCTGTTGGTTTGATCAGGTCGGTTTTCTCCACTTGATTTTCTTGTACAGATAACTATGTATGTATATATCCATAATTGTTGGCTCAACCCCCTCAGCGGTGTCCATGTTTAATACTGACCTTTAGGTATCGCTATCAATCAACAGTTGCAGTAGATGGAGAACTATGATTATTAATAAATCCTTTTTTTTTTTTTCTTCAACAAATTTGTGTTGACTTTTTAATTTACTTTAATATCAAGTTATTTAAATAAAACTCTCAAGTGAATGATTGATTTATTAACAAATTTTAACTTGACTGAACACAAATTATCTAAAACCTCTGTTCATCAATTTTTGTTGAAATCTTATGAAATAAATTAATTATTTTTATTCATAACTTAAAATAAAATTTTTAATTTTTGTCCAAATTTAATGTCACCTAATTGGCTGTAGATCAGTAGTATATTTCTAAGGAAAAATATCTTGTAAAACAAAAATCGGTAAGGACATGTCAGCTTTAATAGTGACAGTAGCAGTAACTGTGTACACATGCATTAAACTTTGATCAAATCATAATGGCAAAAATATAAAGAAGAAAAATTGCCAAGCTTGGAACACAAAAATGGTAGGAATTTGACAAATATTACTTCAAATTCATTAAAATTTAAAATAGAAAAATTATTTAAAAAAAAAGGAACAAACATTTTTACAGAAGCAAATATATTTCCAATTGGACGATAATTAATTTTGAATGTCATAACTAAATGATATTAATTTATAACAAATCATTTGCAGCGGAAAAAAACAACTTTATTTCACAAGGCCAGTTTGTTCATTCAAGGAAGAGGAAATTTTTATTGCACAATTTCCTATTTTCAAAATGCCTATTTCAATTCCAACAAGAAACAAATAACTTAACTTGAATCTTTTGGCTTCTATCATTTATGATAACAAATTTAAGCAAACATAAGTCCTGACTTACTAAATTCAAAAAAGCTGTGTAAAAAAAAAGATACACAAAAATATGTGCAAATTTGTTCAATGCATTGCTTGATATTCAAGATTTAATTTTCTTTAACCATAAAAATTTTAAGAATTTAGAAAATAATGTATTTCAAGTTTTGTCTGTGAAAAATACACAAATAGTAACATATGTGCTTAAAGGCCATCCATGAACAATGTCATGTGTCTGAGGGAGGGCTGTCCTTCAAATTTGTGATGTGTGGTCAGGGGGAGGGGTGTTCTTCAAATTTGTGATGTGTGGTCTGGGGGAGGGGTGACCTTTGAATTTGTGATGTGTCATCTAGTGTCTAATCTTGTTATTGTGTTACAAATTGGGAAAGAGGATGGTGTCAAAAACTCTGAACAAAAAATAGACCGAAGTCATTTATGGACTTTCCCTTGTTAAAACAGCTTTTGTGTAAAGGAATAGACAACAGCAGCTTGAAAAATGGAGGTGGATAAAATAACAGTATCACGATTACAGGCATTAAACAGTTAAGTATTACCTTACCATAAACATAGCAGTGATACATTGTTGTCTCATCTATGGGAACCTCAAAACAAAATGGTGGATTCTACAAAAAGCTTACCACAAATAAAACAGAATGTGACCAAGAACTCTTTACAGGAGGAATGAGACAATTTTTGTTGAAAACCACTGACTCAAAGGAATGTAGAGAAAGAAAGCCATTTTAAAGTTGTCAACATTCCAGGAGGACTTTTATGAAAAATGTAATGATTTAAATCCTTAGTGCTGGCAGCAAAAATAATATTTAGTCATCAAAGAAGGGTAAATGATCACAATGAAATTTTTTGTCTTTTTTAATAACTAAAAGTATAAGGTACATGAACAGTTGCTCTTAATCTTGTTACTTTGCATGTGTAAGGTTCACACCCTGACAAAAGGATTTAAAAATAGAAGCTTTAATTTTTTGCCATTTAAGTTTAGAAAGTTTGTGTAAACAGCAGCAGTCATTTGCTGAACAAAGTTTAAAAAAAAAATATTGGTATCAAAATATTACAGAGATTTGCTCTGGCAAAGAAAAAATGTAGCATTTTGTCAAAATAATGAAAACATTTGATAAGGCACGACAAGCTAGGACCAGATAAGTTATAATTCATTTCACTTTCACTGCAAAACAAAGACAACCTTTGAAAACTGCAAAAATAATCACAAAATAATTTGAATACAAATATATTACAACTGCATATTTTTGCACTCCACAAGCATCAAATTTTGCAATATCCACTCATTTATTTACAACTTCCTGATATAGTTATGAATGGGATGCTTATTTATAATCACTGCATGGGATAAATGAAGGTAAATTAATTTTTTTTTTCACACAACACACTGTCTACGGACAATTATGTTCACACAAAGCCAAGAAAATTCTTTTGTAACATGCATGTATCATGAATCCATGGATGAAATAATAGAAAATGAAAACTGAAATGAACACCTCTATAACTTTGATTCGATAGTTTGATTAAATTTATAAAATAAATATAGCATTCACTAGCAGTACTGAAACTTCTGCATTTGCGTATTTGCATTTTCCAACTGTACATAGCTCCAATTGCCACATGAAGTAAAAACGATTATAATATTATGAGTAGTTGTTGGAAATGGGTCTCTCCACTGAGGAAAAAGTATCCATAGTTCAGCAATATTTCCATTCATACGTTAGTGTACATACATGGTGATAGTTTTGAAAAAATTTAGTCAAACAATTCAAACCAAATAAAAAAAAATTTAAAAAATGGAACCACGAAACTGTCCCGGAAAGGCACTCGCTTAGCAGAAGGGGAAATCCGATAGACCAGTAAGTTTCATAAGACTTTCTTTCGGAGAATCATGCATTCTTATTAAAACTGGATCCTCCTACATCCTCCTGGCTCACACTTAAAGCTCTGTCATGTTCTTAAACAATCGGTAATGAACATATGATGGTGTTCTGTTTGAAAGAGGTTCCTCGTATATTTCGAAGGGGGCGAACGCAGAACCTTATGGAGAAACGGGTGTGATTATCATTGTTGAAAAATTGTTTGGTCAATCAGACTTCCTCTTCCATAACAGATAAATTTCGTAACAACAGACTCAGTAACTTTTACTTGATGCCGTCTTATTAAATCTCTCTTTGAAGTGTTCAGACACTTTTCATCAAACATTATCCCCCATCAAAATCACTTTATTCCTTATGTAGCAAAAATAGTTTTCGTCTGTGAGATATTTTCATTGGTAGTGAGACCCACCTTCAACCAGAAGTGCCCATCACATCTGCCTGGACACCCCAGGGAACATCTATTAACTGAAGCTATGCCCCCAAAAGAATGTACCCGTGAGACCCACTTTCAATCAGAAGTGCCCATCACATCTGCCTGGACACCCCAGGAAAAATCTGTCAACTGAAGCTATGCCCCCAAAAGAATGTACCAGTGAGACCCACTGTCAACCAGAAGTGCCCATCACATCTGCCTGGACACCCCAGGAAACATCTGTCAACTGAAGCTATGCCCCCCAAAAGAATGTACCAGTTCCAGATGCAGAAGTCTCAGAACTATTCCTGTACTGTAATTTACTGTTTTGACTTGATACTTTATATTAGCAGTATAATTAGAATGTCAGTTTGATTGCTCTAATCACCTAATGCATAAGAATTGAACAGGAACTTTGATTTTACATTTGTTAAGTCATTTAACAGTAAAACATTGAAATAATGGGTGAAATTGGAGTTACAAAAATACATAGAAATTGTAAACTGGTAGACTTTTGTTTACATTTGCTGTTTACATTTTATGAAATTCAATGTAAAACAAAAACCTTTAAACATTTGTAAAATTTAACAATTTATGCATATTTTCACCATTATTTTAGAGGAGGTGAGGGTGTGCTTACCTCATTGTAAGTAAAGCAAATTAAGATGCGGGAGATTGTACAAGTAAGAAACCACGATGATTCAGACCACCCTGAAATGGTGTCTTTGTATAATCTTAACATTCATACACTTAGAGTTTTTCAAACTTGTATGATAATTCAGCATCCACATAATCAACAACATATTCAGTGTTCATAGGCACGATACTTGAACAATATTTGTATATCACAGAAAAGCATATAAAGCAACTTGTTTAGTTCTCAAAGAATTGCCAGGCTTGCAATGAGTAAACACAAAGTATCATTAAGAGAATCTATAAATTGCATTCATCCGAGCCATGATCTCATAATTACCAAATAAGACAAATCGAAATGGACAAAAGTAGGGGTTGCCTATTTACAGATTTTTAAAATTAAGTTATTTAGTTTATTCTGAATATTTAAATTAATTTTAAGGAATTTATTTGTTTATAAATGATCGCAATTATGTTTCTGGTATTTGGGTTATGGGGAAATCAGAGAAAATAAATATTTTATGATAAACAGTTTAAAATGGTGATTAATGTGGCTAAAATAAGATACTCCTGGAAACATGGGGAGGCGGGATATAGTGAGGGAAATCCTTGTACCCCACATCAGAAAAGATGCACATCAGATTTCAGTTTATGTTGGTGGTAAGATGTACACAGTTGAAAAACATTTGATGAAACTTATACACAGCTTAAACTTTAGAAAAAAAACACATGGAAAGAAAACAAATGACAAAAATATTTAGAAAAAAATATCAACTGATTATATTTGAGTATCAAGCGTTTAATACTTAAACAGATTTTGGACAGCTGATAGCTGTCCCAGCAGGATGCACAAATCAAACCTGGGATGGAAGACAGCACAACTTCTGAACACTTGCTTCAACACTGTAATGCTACAACAAGCAAGCCAATGGAATCACACAAGAGGCTACAGTTATCTTGTTTAAGCCAATGGAATCACACAAGAGGCTATAGTTATCTTGTTTCAGCCAATGAACAAACAGGGACTATTCGAGTGGAATCCAATATATTTTGAAGATTGAAGTTTTAAAAAAAAGATTTATAAGCTTCAAAGAAAGAAAAATGCCACAGTTCAGGTAAATAGTTAAGAAAAATATATTTATCAATATTGAAACCAACGTTCCCATCATGGCTTTGATAAATGTTATTTATAAAACTATTGAAAAATTTGGCTATAATAATAGGGCAGATAATCATAGACCTTGGGTTGTAAATTCCCCCCCCCCCGATCTAGGAGTCCTTAAAGAATTAGCTGTACAAGAAGCAAATTATTTAAAAAACTATTAAAAAATTTGGCTATAATAAAAGGGCAGATAATCATAGACCTTGGGTTGTAAATTCCCCCCCCCCCCGATCTAGGAGTCCTTAAAGAATTAGCTGTACAAGAAGCAATACAACACAACCAGATACAACACAAACACGTACAGCTCAACCTCATACAGCACAAACAACTAATAACATAAAAAACAACCAATAAACAATTACCATTTCACGACAAGCTGGTAATGATAATACATCTGAACCCAGAAGGAGAAAGACAAGGCAATCAAATTACTATATTTAACAAGAATGACAATGAAATTACTTGGGGAATAAATCAAATAGATATGGCCATCAGGCACAGGTCAGATTTACAATGACCATTAGGCACAGGTCAGATTTACAGAACATCCATGGTTGTAACTGATGCTTTTTTGACAATTTTGTTTAACATACAAGTTTACCATGCTATCACATATCTGGCATACAGAAAAGTTCGTTCACCATCTTTGCTAATACCTTTAAAAAAAATCATAAGTCCAATTAAAACAAATGCTGAAAAATTTGATTATTTTAGGTTTACACAATATTAAAAACCTCCACTTGAGCTAAAACCCATAAAAGATAATTATCAAATTTTCTTATGATTGTTCAGCTGTAAGGCACCTGTAAAAAAAAATATCATGGCGTAAAGAAAAGGGAATATTCAACAACCCTAACCAGGGGTTCGTGAAGCAAAAAAGTTTGATCAGAACACATTGTGTTTCGTTGGCATAAGTTTCACTCAAACAACAGAAACATTAATTAACACATGAAAATTCATAATTATAATACAAAAGAAAGTGTACTCTCATTAAAAAAAAAAGAGTAATCACAATAAGTCACAACAACAAAAAAAAAACAGCCTTTGATTCAACAATGTGAGAACACTGGAAGGTTTAAAATAACTTTTTAAAATCACCATGTTTAAAGAAGAGCAGAACACATTTTGCTCAATGCTTCTGGCATTTTCTCATCCCTAACTTTTTTTAAAACCACTGTTAAAATGAATTGCATGAAAAAAAACAACGTTTGTTAAGTGTGCAGCCCAAACCAGAGTTCACCTGTCTAACAAAGTAACAGAGGCTGCAGTAAAGTAGTCACACAGAGGCTGTAGTAAAGTAGTCACACAGAGGCTGTAGTAAAGTAGTCACACAGAGGCTGTGGTAAAGTAGTCACACAGAGGCTGTAGTAAAGTAGTCACACAGAGGCTGTAGTAAAGTAGTCACACAGAGGCTGTAGTAAAGTAGTCACACAGAGGCTGTAGTAAAGTAGTCACACAGAGGCTGTAGTAAAGTAGTCACACAGAGGCTGTAGTAAAGTAGTCACACAGAGGCTGTAGTAAAGTAGTCACACAGAGGCTGTAGTAAAGTAGTCACACAGAGGCTGTGGTAAAGTAGTCACACAGAGGCTGTAGTAAAGTAGTCACACAGAGGCTGTAGTAAAGTAGTCACACAGAGGCTGTAGTAAAGTAGTCACACAGAGGCTGTAGTAAAGTAGTCACACAGAGGCTGTAGTAAAGTAGTCACACAGAGGCTGTAGTAAAGTAGTCACACAGAGGCTGTAGTAAAGTAGTCACACAGAGGCTGTAGTAAAGTAGTCACACAGAGGCTGTAGTAAAGTAGTCACACAGAGGCTGTAGTAAAGTAGTCACACAGAGGCTGCAGTAAAGTAGTCACACAGAGGCTGTAGTAAAGTAGTCACACAGAGGCTGTAGAAGGTAGTCACACAGAGGCTGTAGTCACACAAGGCTCGCAACCGCACCATTTTTTCACGCTCCTGAACTATATTAATATTGTAATGACACACCCACTTCAACATTGCAGATTTATTTCAACAACTATTTCAGAAAGATTTTAAAAAATGTACGCAACAAATGCTTCAGCAGTATTTTTTTAAAAAGAATCTCATTTAGCGCAGTTATCAGGAATTTTATTTCGTGAAATTAGTGTCATCATATTCCCTTCATCTTCCCCTTGAAAAACCGGAAAAACTTTTTTTTTTAGGGGGTTGGGGGCTGGAAATTTGACAGAATGTGTTGTCATCTGCAGCAAGTCTATGTATCAAGTTACAGCTTGATAGTTTGATGGGAAGTGGGTCAATTAGCTGTCTGAAGATTTTGCTAGGCAGCCATGAATAAAAACGAAGTTAATTTAAAGGATTTAAAAAACAAACAATCCTCAAAATTAATCACAAGATAAAATGACCTGTTTACAACATTGTTAACAACAATTTTCAAATCCAAGAGAAAGAAACATGATTTCAACAGCACCATTGCAGTAAATAGTTCTATAAATAATTCTCTGAAACACATCACATTTGTGTTTTGTATATAAAGCTGTTGTGATAAAAGTGTAAATATAGAACATCAAATGGAGAAGGCACACAGTTAAAAATATAATATATAAAATATTTTTTTTACATTATGATTGGAGAAAACCTTTGAACTTAGGCGGCACTAGTTTCATTCAAGATGTGAAGTTCTAATACCGGTAAATAAAATAAATACAAATCTATCTATGAAAATGATATAAACACGTTATGAACATGATATGAACACGATATGAACATGATATGAACATGATATGAACATGACATAAATATTCTGTAACATTAATTATCTCTTCACAAATCTCACCCGCTTTGGTGCCTTAGAAATGCATCATTATGGGCTGTTGGGCTAGGCTTAGAATGATGTATTTTAAATAGATATTTGTAAATGTCAAAGAATTTGCCTGTGCCAGAGAATGTTGTCAAACATAGAGCCAGTATTTCCAGTGTGAGAATAAGGCTCAACAAAATTTGTGCACATTCATATTAAATATATTCATTACATATAGTGAATAAAAAAAAACAACTACAATAATGGTGGCCACGATATGTTCATAAATATCACTTCCTTGACATCAATCAAATGTTGATTTGATAAGAGTAACAAGCCCGCTTTCATAACGCAATGATACACCATAATATTGTTTAGACATTCAATAACGGAAGCCCTGGGATTGGGGGCGGGGGGGTAAAAAGGTCTATGATAATACCATTGACTGAATGAAAATGAATGTGTAAATTTGATAATGTGACCTAAAGCTGTAATGGCTTCTGATGACCTGATGGCTTCTGATGACCTAATGGCTTCTGATGACCTGATGGCTTCTGATGACCTGAATGCAGATTGAGGGACTGATGCCAACATTTACATCAACAAATTAAAAAACGATCCTAATCATAAGTCAGCTGTCCACTTCACAGGAAACAAAGTGACAGCTTAAAGATAGATTCACGAACCTTTCTTGATCAGAGTTGGAGCTTTCACCGACCTGATTTCATTTTGTTTCTGCAGTCTGAACGGGATGGGCTGGAAAGGTGAGGGTAATGTTTTTGGTGTGAGATCCTCTGGAACTGGAGGCGCCACATTTGTATCTCCAGTGGATGACTTTGTTTTGACATATCTGACCGGTCCAGCACGTGTGCCGGTGCTAGTTCTTCTTTCACCTGACCCCTGACTACTTGAACTTACCCTGCTCCTAGTTTCTGAACCCTGACTACCACCACTGAGTCTGGTCTTTGCATCTGACCCCTGGCTACCACCGCTGAGTCTGGTCTTTGTATCTGACCCCTGACTTCCAGCACTGACCCTACTCTTTGTTCCTGACTTTTGGCTATCAGTCCTTGGTCTCATATCAACTTTGGCATCAGCTGATGGATGTTTAGCTACAAAGCTTTCACCTGCCACATCAGCAGCCTTCGATCTGAAATAACCACCATCGTTTGGTCTCTGCCGCTGACTGTGTGACTCTACACCAGCTCTAGGCTCAGCCAGTTTGTGGATAGTACTGTCCTTCGTTCTATGTGAGGCAACGCTTTTGTTTCGAGAGTCTGCAGCTTTGTGAGGCAAGTTGGGTGACTTGTGAGTGGCAAGCCTGGAGTCCTGGTGGCAGTTCTCTTCCATCTTTGCCACCAAATCAGAGACAAGCAGCCTTTTTGCTGGCCCCGGCTCTTCTGCTGGTTTGACCACTTGTCCCACGCTAACGCTGGGACCATTTGAATAATTTTCCAATGCCTCATTAACACAGGTATTGGATATTTCATCAGCCTTTGAGCTGCTTTCCCTGCTGCTGTGCCCTGAGTTGGCCAAGCCACTGTTGTCACTTGCTGATCTACTGACTGATACTCGCTCACTAATACTGTCATCCAAATTTCTATATCCGTGACTAGATTCAGGCGACCCGTGATCTGACCCCGATGATGCTAATGGAGGTGGTATCACAATATCTGAAGTGTTTTGATAACCCGATGTGTGGTCACCCAACCCGGAACCGTTGCCAGAGGACTTGGTCAGCTTCAACGGTTGGTTGATGTTGATCTGGACACTATCTGTTCTGGCCCTTGCTGGTAAGGGCGGGGGTTCATCGAGGGTGGGTAAAGGCGGGACAGGGGGATTAAGATCAATGCGTGCTGTGACTGTGAAGTTGGGGTTGGTGGCTTGGACAGGAGCCGACGACCTCTGCAGGAAAGACCCTGATGTATTTCTGTAGTTATCGTCTGATCCATTGTGGAAGTTTGCTCCCGCTGGGGTGGACATGGTTGTGGCGGAGCTAAAACGACTGACGTCATCGGCATCATTTATAGTTCTGGACAAAACCTCAACAGATTTGGCTTCCCGCACGCGCCTGAATGACCGGCTTCTGGTTGTCATCCGAATTCCCTTGATGGTCATCTCACCAATGGAATGAAAACTGTTTTGCCTTTTGAAATTGGACTCAGAGTCGCTGCTCCTTCTTTTAAAAATAAAACTTGACCTTCTTTCGGGGGTGGTGCTGCGGCTGCTTCTACGTTCAGGCGTGGTGCTGCGGCTGTGTCCGAGACTCTCACGACTGAAAGCTTTTTTAATGGCAGGAAAGAGGCTGCTGAAGGATTTGCTCTTTTGTTTGTTCTGAGCATCAAGTTTTGTGGAGGAGCCATTGTTGGTGCTGGACTTCAGGTTAAATAAATGCTCTTTGCTGCCTAGGTTTAGGAAGTTCGGATTAGACAAAGACTTTCTCAATGTTTCTTGCTTGGCTCTGGCATTGACCATTTTCCTAATCAGATGAGCACTTGGAGCGGATGACAGGGGCTTAGAACCAGAAGTAGTGTGCGGTACATTGATGTATCCGAAGGATGTACTTCTATCCCTGTATCCGTTAATATCTGTGTTGTCGTGAAATTTCTTGAGCCCGGTGAATGGCAGTGGGGGTTTATCACTGGATGAGGATGAAGCATTAGAGGAAAGGGTTGTGTTGCCATCATCCTCAGCCAATCTGCCCTGCTGGAATCTCTTGGCCTTTCCAATGTGTTCATCTTCACCATCGTCATAGATGACCGTCCTCATGTGGTCACTGAGATCTTCACAACTTGCAGATATCAGCCAGTCACCAACAGTACTGTCCACCTGATCCAGGCCAGAATATCCACTAACCTGCCTTTGGGCCAGTGTTCTGCTGACATCTAAGGCACCTGACTCAGGTGAGTCTTCTGAAATGGCCTCACCCGATTCCTGCCGGCTTGGATCCGACTGAACCCTGTTTCCTGAAGAAGAGGGGCGGCTGATGTTGTAGTATTGGTCAGAACTACTCAAAGATGTGTGACTGACCTCATCAGCCGATCTTTGCCTTATGTGACGGACAACTGGGGGAGACAATCCATGATCATGATTAATACTGTCTTTTGAGTTGTGACGAGAATACTGATGGTTGGACACACCCAGGATAGCTTCTGGTGCTGACTTTTGCCTGTGATGTTGGATACTGCCGGAGTTTTGTTGCAGGTTGATATATCCACTCGGAGTGGCAAAGGAACTAGCACTGCTGGCGACACTGTGTTCACTTCCACTCAGGTCCTTCCTCAATTTTTCCCAATGTCTGTCCAGAGAGTTATGCCCCCCATAGTTTGATTGACCATTCCGGCTGGCCATGCTGGGACTCTCTGAGTGAGTGACAGTTCCTGCAGTTGTTGACCCACCTGGCTGATGATCAATCGACAGGTTTGTAGTTGGGGACTTGACACCACTGAGCTGCTGCGACAGTAAATATTCAGCCCGACCTACTTTGTTGGGGTTTTTCACTACAATGGGTGACTTGGAGACCCTGACCTTCATGTTAGGTGACGTGAGATGGTAAAACTCTGTGTGCTGATGTTGTGGGTTGTTGCTCTGAGCAAGGTCGGTGTCAACTCTAAGATTACCTTGAGGACTTTTGTTGTCATGCCTGGATCTGTGCTGAGCATTGGAAGATTTGGACTGCAGCCTCTCTGGTGATGTTGATCTTACCCCATGGCCATCTGTGACATCCACCTTCCTAGGGAGGCTGTGTTCTCTTCTCTTGCTGCGCCGAGTAGCCCCGCTGTTGATAGCACGGGGAAGAGGAGGTCGTCGGTCATTGAGTCTTGGATCTTCGGGGGCATTTGACCGACTCTCAGAGCTGTTCCTCCTTGGGTCAGTTGATGAATCACCGGGCCTTTCCAAATTGATGACGAGGCTCGATGACTGGACAGTGCCTTGTGATGAGGGCTGATCTCTGAAGTATTGAAAAAGTAATTATAAAAATCACAATTTGAGAATCATTTAATCAAATTTAAGTTTTGAAGCAAGAATACATGAAATAATTCAGCATTTAAAATGCCACCAAAGAAATGGGAGAGGGCAGAATAAAATTAATGCAGATGAGATCACAATAAGCTAACAAAAAAACAACAAAATATTTTAAAATAAAATTACCAAGCATGTCTTCTTTATTTACATCTAATTCAAAATGAAAACTATGAAAAACAACCAAGTATTAGAGTTAAAATCCTCCAAAAAAATTCAATGAATTAAAATTATTATTCAGTTTTGGAATAGAGACATAACAACGAGAAAACTTACCTGTCTCTTGCCCTTGTTGATCTCATCTGTGAATCCTCTGAGATAGACAAATAAGTTATGGAATAGAGTTAAATGAGATAGGCCAACAAGTTATGGAATAGTGTTAAATGAAATAGACTTAACAAGTTATAGTTTAGCCAAGCCCATTTCATTATTGTTGTGTAGGTTACAGTAGGGTTATAAGACAGGAGCCCATGATAGCACAAAAAAATTTGATGAATTTTTTTTAAATAAACTAGGAAATTCTAATTGCTTATAAAATGTATTAGTGGGTGTAATTAGTGAGTGTAATTAGTGGGTGTAAAGCATTTTTTCCAATAGAAATACAGGAACAGCTTTGGAAAAATTATTTACACCAATTTTTTTTATTTTATAGCGATTGTAACCGTTCACTTCTGTATAAAATAAATATATTTTCTACCGTCCCCACAATTATTACACTCTTTACTCTAGCACAGAATCATAATACGACCTCTTCCAACATGGCTGCAACAACTCATCAATTATATCTATACATTTGTCTCAATTGATTCCATCCAACATCAAAACAACACAAACAAAGTTATACTGTTGCTGTTACAGTGATAAATAATGGTGCTTCTTTGAAAATGTCAAACACAATCCAATCAACACATCTAAAGTTATTTGAATGCTTTTCCTATTGAGTGGCCAAAACTTCCATCATAGCTTTTAGTTTAGCATTTTAACCGGCCAGACATGGAGTTACAAGTGGGCGGCTGGTGTTGTCTGATACCCTAACCGGCCAGACATGAAGTTACAAGTGGGAAGCTGGTGTTGTCTGATACCCTAACCGGCCAGACATGGGAGTTACAAGTGGGAAGCTGGTGTTGTCTGATACCCTAACCGGCCAGACATGGAGTTACAAGTGGGAAGCTGGTGTTGTCTGATACCCTAACCGGCCAGACATGGACTTACAAGTGGGAAGCTGGTGTTGTCTGATACCCTAACCGGCCAGACATGGAGTTACAAGTGGGAAGCTGGTGTTGTCTGATACCCTAACCGGCCAGACATGGACTTACAAGTGGGCGGCTGGTGTTGTCTGATACACTAACCGGCCAGACATGGAGTTACAAGTGGGAAGCTGGTGTTGTCTGATACCCTAACCTACCAGACATGGACTTACAAGTGGGAAGCTGGTGTTGTCTGATACCCTAACCGGCCAGACATGGACTTACAAGAGGGAAGCTGGTGTTGTCTGATACCCTAACCGGCCAGACATGGACTTACAAGAGGGAAGCTGGTGTTTTCTGGTACCCACGACTTCACCAGGGAGTTACAAGTGGGAAGCCGGTGTTGTCTGATACCCACGACTTCACCAGGGAGTTACAAGTGGGAAGCTGGTGTTGTCTGATACCCACGACTTCACCAGGGAGTTACAAGTGGGAAGCCGGTGTTGTCTGATACCCACGACTTCACCATGGACTTCCAAGTGGGAAGCTGGTGTTGTCTGACACCCACGACTTCACCAGGGAGTTCCAAGTGGGAAGCCGGTGTTGTCTGACACCCACGACTTCACCAGGGAGTTCCAAGTGGGCGGCCGGTGTTGTCTGACACCCACGACTTCACCAGGGAGTTACAAGTGCGCGGCCGGTGTTGTCTGACACCCACGACTTCACCAGGGAGTTACAAGTGGGAAGCTGGTGTTGTCTGACACCCACGACTTCACCAGGGAGTTCCAAGTGGGCAGCTGGTGTTGTCTGACACCCACGACTTCACCAGGGAGTTCCAAGTGGGCAGCTGGTGTTGTCTGATACCCACGACTTCACCAGGGAGTTCCAAGTGGGCGGCCGGTGTTGTCTGACACCCACGACTTCACCAGGGAGTTCCAAGTGGGCGGCCGGTGTTGTCTGATACCCACGACTTCACCAGGTTTGTAAAGAGGATGGTGATGTGAGTAAAGGAAAATATTTAAAAACTTTTACCGCTGCTGGCAGAAATGTTTAGAGAACTAATTTATAAAAAAAATCTAACCAGGTGCCGGTGACCCAATGTTCCAGTTTCTGGAGAGTATATTCCTTATCTCTGGCTCTCTGGGTGGACATACAATGATGGTGGTCAATGAGTGTAGACAGTCGTGTTCTCTGATGTAATCTTCAATCTCTTCGGGGGTTCCTTTCTGTGTTGGCTGTATAAAAAATAAATAAATCCTCTATAAAAAGATTTTTTAAAAAAGCAGACCCCGAGAAACCTCAAAATACTTTAACTCTGTTCTCTCACATGGGTACTCTTCAATAAGTGGGTTGGGCCTTGGGAGATTCAGTAGGTGGGGCCTTGGGAGATTCAGTAGGTGGGGCCTTGCCTGATTCCATTGGTGGGGCCTTGGGAGATTCAGTAGGTGGGGCCTTGCGTGATTCCATTGGTGGGGCCTTGGGAGATTCAGTAGGTGGGGCCTTGCATGATTCCATTTGTCGGGCCTTGAGAGATTCAGTAGGTGGGGCCTTGCATGATTCCATTGGTGGGGCCTTGGGAGATTCAATGGGTGGGGCCTTGGGGGAGTCAGTATAACAAACACCTTGAGTTCAACTCAGTCAGCCACATATAACCCCATACAATAAACAGTTTAGAATGTTTTTGTGTGTGTGTAACTGAGTTCCCTGTTCAGGAGTCAAGCCACAAAAGAAAAGTTCAAATGATGGAGAACTGAAATAAATGAAAGGACTGCTTTCAAGCTATGTAAATGAATGAAATAGTGAAACGAGGTATGTGGAAGCTTGAAATAAGGTAACAGGACAAAAAACAAGGACATTTCGGCATAAAGCCTTCCTCAGCCAACAATAGAAATGAAAATATAACAAAGAAAAGAGCACAGTAGACAACTCAAGCAGTATCCATTCGTGTCTCCGGAAGTGGGAAAACAGGAAGCAAGAGAATATAAATATTGACACTGTGAAAAATAAAGTCCACAATAATAATGGACCAGAATATCCAGGGATACATCAACACACAACAATGAGAAAATAGATGAAATATAGGGAAACGGAGAAACCTCAGTAGGATATTATTTGATTAATACCATATGGAGACATGGTGCCATACAGCTGAATAAATTTATTTTCCATTTTAACCCTATCTGGTGTGTTACTGCATGAAATCAGTGCCGTAATGGTTACATCCAATGCACCTTTATGTTCTTTTTGGTTGAAATGAACATAAAGGTGCATTGGATGTAACCATCCCTTAGATGTTCAGTAAACCTATCAGCCAATCTTCTCCCAGTTTCCCCTATGTAACTAGATTGGCATCTACGGCAAACAATCGCGTATATTACATTTCTGCTGACACAGGTGAAACCCTCTTTAATGGTAAAGGTACCTTTAGGGAGGCCAATGCTTTCAGTTTGGAGAACTGAACCAGGGTTTGGAAACCTTCTATTGAGTAAGGAGCCATTTTATAAATTATATCCGCTATAAAAATATTTTTGAAGCCGCATTTCAATATAGATTAGTTTAAACAAAAATAAATAGGTATATCTATTCTATGAACAAGCTGAGGATTGCCTATTACTGCCCTAAACTTGTATTCTGCCATTCCCTTCTTGTGACCTGATATTTTTTAAAGACAGCTGTTATGGAAGAATAACAAAACAAACAGAATTTTTAGTTGCATGGGCAATGCATGAGATGAAAACACGGAGCAGAGATGACATAACTGAACTCTCACCTTGACCCTATCAAGGGTGTTAACGATGTAGCTATCCACAAGGTCATACATGGAGTCCTCTTCTCCTCTCCGAGTCCTGAAACTGAACAGCCCCTCCCCCATGGGAGCCACTCGACCTGCTTCAATGTTAAAGTGACCTGGTTCTGATACCTCATAATATCTAATACTTTTCAGTGGCCACTGAGCAAGAAGTGCTCTTGTTTTCTGAAAGTCAAATAACAGAATAGATCATCATTAGGGAGAGGCTTATGATTCAGCTCTATTTTATTCTTATTTTCAAAATATAGATTGATGTTTTCAAATTAATATATCGCAACTGGGTCCCAATGGAACCATTCTGAAAGCTGGTACATTGAAATACACTATTGAACTGGGTCCCAATGGAACCATTCTGAAAGCTGGTACATTGAAATACACTATTGAACTGGGTCCCAATGGAACCATTCTGAAAGCTGGTACATTGAAATACACTATTGAACTGGGTCCCAATGTAACCATTCTGAAAGCTGGTACATTGTAATACACTATTGAACTGGGTCCCAATGTAACCATTCTGAAAGCTGGTACATTGTAATACACTATTGAACTGGGTCCCAATGTAACCATTCTGAAAGCTGGTACATTGTAATACACTATTGAACTGGGTCCCAATGTAACCATTCTGAAAGCTGGTACATTGTAATACACTATTGAACTGGGTCCCAATGTAACCATTCTGAAAGCTGGTACATTGTAATACACTATTGAACTGGGTCCCAATGTAACCATTCTGAAAGCTGGTACATTGTAATACACTATTGAACTGGGTCCCAATGTAACCATTCTGAAAGCTGGTACATTGTAATACACTATTGAGCTCCTTATCAAAAATGACATCAACTCAAAAAGAAAGAAAAAAGTGAAAAAAGTAAATTAATAAATTATTTAGAACAAAATTTATTGCACTCTGATAAATCACACTCTGATAAATCACACTCTGATAAATCACACTCTGATAAATCACACTCTGATAAATCACACTCTGATAAATCACACTCTGATAAATCACACAGCAACAAATAAAAAAAATCATTTAAAAACACTCTTTGCACGCTTCAGTTTCTTAGAAACAAACTCATAAAAAAAGATGTGTTCTGAATGAAACATTTGTTCATCCCTGTGTTGTTGATATAAAATAAACCTCGTTCTTAGAACTTTCTACTCCATACCATCGTCTAAAGTTTACCTCTAGTGCCAATGTGAGCCCCCATGGTGAGGCATGCAGCACGCATCTACTATTATTGGCTCCAATTTTTCGCTGGCATTCAGAGTCTTCTGGAATGACGCTGATAAGATCATCTGTGAAGAAGACAACGGATGTCATTAACACACTGTTGTATGAGAAATTTTACAAATTGTTTACAAATTTCAGCTCCCTGCTCTAAATTTCCTCATTTAAATCCTTGGGTTTATAAATTCGTTTCAGAGTATAATGAGATTCCTGTGTTTTAAAAAATAAATAAATAATTTTTAGAAATTTCAAACACTTAATTAATTTTTTTAGTAATGCTCATTCCCTGATAAGAATTTCAGCAACCAATGGAGTAAGGGCCAACAAAGAATGTTAGTGTTACCAGCACACCCATTAAAGAATGTTAGTGTTACCAGCACACCCACCAAAGAATGTTAGTGTTACCAGCACACCCACCAAAGAATGTTAGTACTACCAGCACACCCATTAAAAAATCTTAGTGTTACCAGCACACCCACTGACTTGATGCTACTAATAAGATGGTTTATGCTGTACCTAAACTGCATCTTCTGATTCGAGCATTTTTTATAAAATATATCTATTTAAAAGCAATAAACACAAACCTCTAATGTTGTCTTTCAATCTGATTTGTACTTGTAACAGAAACACAAGTATATCAATTTCTTTTTCTTCATTTGCAGATATAAAGGTGTGGAAATTAGGAGAGGTGATTTCACAAACAAAAGTCCTCCCTCTTGCATTTTTTAACTTCTCGACTTTGTAGCTTGGCCAGAGTTCAACAGAATCTAAACTCAAATAAATATAAAACATTACTATCACAATAACTAAATTAAGGTAACTCAATTATATTCAACAAACAAATGAAGCTGTGTAAGTATTTTTAACAATCAAGCCTGTGCTTGCTTTATATTTTTAATATTTCATATCAGCTTTTAAAATAAATAATATTTCTATATACCTGTGAGTGTACGTTCTGACTTTTTATTATTTTTTGGTTTCCTTTTGTGATATTCAAGATATGGCTTTCCATGTCTCAGACGAAATATTAAGTACTTTGGCTTCCATGTGCTTGCCTTAGTTCCAATGAGTCTTTTTCTTGTCTCACTTAGTCGAAAAAAATCACCCTGAAAAAATAAGTGAATCATTTTCTCAAAGTTCTGTAATCTCATTATCAGGTTGAGAGTATCTAGACTTTATTCATTGTGACTTAAGGTTGGAAGGTGAACAAAAATTCTGTAATCTCATTATCAGGTTGAGAGTATCTAGATTTTATTCATTGTGACTTAAGGTTGGAAGGTGAACAAAAATCCTGAAATAAAACTTTATTGACATCTGTCTATTGAAGACTACTGGTCTTATTTTATTTTGTTCATATTTTAAATTTAGGCTTCAGGATAGAGCCTTACAAGATGTTTAACCAAGATAAGGGACTTTTTTCTTTGAAGAGTCGGAATCAAATAGACTAGTAATAGTACTACTAGTTAGTATATAGGCCGACTAGTTTAATATTCAAAGTCAAACACTTTATGTATCTCAGAGCATTTGAATATATTAACATGTTCAGCATTTATTTATTATCTAGGGATCAGAATATCAAATGCAATGGAAATACTTTGCGGGCGACCACTTGTCACATGACCTGCTGGAATAATAACGACTACAAGTCGTCCGGCGGTCACGTGACATGCCCGCCGGATGTATATCTCCAGCACTATTTGTCTGGCGCGCCGGACGTGTAGACACTTTTTTTTTTTTATTATGATATGGCTGTGTCCCAATTCTGTTGTAGTCATTCTGTACTGCACTTTATTAATATTATTATGTTTAAGTATGGGCCTAAAATTCTAGTTTTATAATGAAGTAATATTTTAGTTTAGTAGAAGGTTATACTCTCGATTCACAGTAAAGGTGAAGATGTCTTTTTAAAATGAAAAGTGTGCAATCTGAGTTTACTTATTAAAAAAGGGGTCTCTAAGTCTAAGTAATCTAAGTCAAGTAGGGTGCATTTTCAATAATAGAAATAGTCAGTTGAATATAAGTAGTACTAAGACTAAGTAAAACATCTAACTGTGTGATTAGCCTAAATAAAATACTATGATGAGTTCAGTATTACAGGCCTTGACTATGTCACACTAAGTTCACTAAACAAAACAGTATAACCCACAGTACTGTAATATTAGTATTATGATGAGGGTAATGAGTGGTATGGGAATGTCACAACACATAGTTGACATAGTAATAGTATAGTAAATTTATTAGTAACCCATTTTCTTTATTTTTTAAAAGGCCCTAATGAATAATATTCTGCTGAATCAGCATCACCAGTTTTCTCTGTTAGATAGAAAAGCGCGTGCTTATGTGCACCCAATGCCCCAGTCACTCACACAACACACCTCCTACCTGTTGCGCTTAAGACAAGACTTTAAATAGTAAATAGAGTTATCCACATGAGGGAGATAATCTGCTCTCATTCCTAGCATAGTTTCGGAAAATAAAAAGTATTTAGAGTAAACAAAATAATTTTAAAGGTAATTTTTCTTCACTGTTTCATTTCCTTAAAAATAAAATAAAAGTTTTTGAAAAGTATCAAAGCCCCGTTGTGAAAATGACTAACGGATATTGTCAATCAGCCCTGTTACCTGGTAAACAACTTCTTCGTTGTCCTCCATATTGTTTTCATTTCCGTGTTGTGACGTATTTGGTCAGATTTTTCTTTAATTATAGAAAATTTAACGCACATTAAATGAGTAAAATTAAATAAAAAATTGACTTTCTAATGAATCTTGCCAATAACTAGTTCTGAGTCAAATCTTAAAAACAAAATTTAAAGTACATGTAATATAATTGAATTGATTATTATTAATTGATTTTAAAAAAAGAACGAAAATGATGAATGTTAAAAAAAAATAAGGCACTTTTTGTGGGGGAAAAATAATTACATTATGTAATAAGAAATGTACATATTTCTTTAATTATGAAACTATTCTTTATAGAATAAAAGTATCTATGGTTATGTTACAAACTTAGTAACCAACAAAGTATTTACAGGCATATCGGATGTATCTCTCTCGCCATTCATTTTGCAGTACCGAGAGTTAGCGAGAGTGATTATGCCAGCGAGACATCTTCAGTGGGGGATGGAAACATAAACAAAACCCCCCTTATAAACAAGTAAAGTGTACAGCCTGGCTTTTCCTAAAATGTTTTGGAGATATTTTCTAGTGACTCTTCTTCTAGTCGGACCCGGTAATCGTCTCTTTACTTCGGCAACGCTCGAATATCCAGGTAAGTGGGTTTATTTATCTACTTTAATTTTGTTGTAGAAGTTGCTGACTGCTGTACTGTGTGTTACTGTTAGTGTTGTGTCAATTTTGTAAGCAAAAAAAAAAAAAAAAAAAAAAAAACAAAATTTTGAAAAAAAAAAAAAAAAAAAAAAAAAAAAAGCAACTGAGACGAGTCAGTGACAGTAAGTTAGGCAGTTGTATCTGTCTAAGCTGCTGCCGAGTAGCGTCATTCTAACTTATTATACTTAGAGTCTATGAATTCATACCTTCATACAAAGTATAATTAATAATTAAGGAAAGTAGTCGATATAATATAGTTGGACTCTACTATAAAATCATATTACATTTTAATAACATATTTCTTAATCTTCACAACAATTCATCAATTTAAAAATAATAAAATGCTTAAAACAGATATTAAATGGGTGGTGTACATATTATATAACACAAAAATATGACATACTTTATCCACTCCCCTGCCCCTTAAAGACCCCTTATGCCTTATTATGCCTTATAACATTGTATAACATTTCCATCATTGACACCCCCCCCCCCCTTTTATTATAATTGCAATGACTTAAAACAGATATTAAATGGGTTGTGTACATATTATATAACACAAAAATATGACATACTTTATCCACTCCCCTGCCCCTTAAAGACCCCTTATG